TTTTCAAAAGGGGATTTCAACAAAGATAGCCTTTGTATTTACAGGTTTCTTCTACTGGATTATTAACTTAAGCTAGGCATAAAGCCAGTATACCACAACAACTTTGCTAGCCATATTTAGCAATGTTTAGGCCAACTCTACAAGCCAAACATTTCTTCTTTGTAAGTGTTGTGTAGTCCTAGATAGTCTAAGTGTGTGTGGTACACATGGCAACCACCCACCCTCCACCCCATGATCCTGAAGTTGGATTCAACTGCCGAATGATGGGTTTGATCTGCTTGTGTCATCACTCTGTGGCTTCTGACCTGTGTCCTAACAACTTTGAGCCATATGTGCTGCCTAATTGCCATTAATTCCTGAAACAGGAGGCTTTCAGAACTGATCTCCACCTGCATTCTCTGCTGCAGGTGGACCTAGCAAGAATTGGAACCCTACCATGATGTCCTCTGACATACTGATCTCCTACTGCTACAGTGGAGAGGTTGTATTCTGACTCGAGAGATGGGTGTGTTTGCTAGGCATAAAAGACAGCTTTCAGATGACAGTGACTGCATACAATGGCAAAAATAATTATTTGATCCCCTGCATATTTTCTAAGTTTTCCCACTTACAAAGAAATGAAGGGTCTATAAAATTTTTATCATAGGTGTATTTTAAATGATAGAGATCAACCAAAAAGCCAAAAAAAAAAAAACACATGATCCAAAAGGTTATAAATTGAGTTCAGTGAGTAAGTATTTGATCCTTTACAATAATAATTCTGGCTTCCACAGACTGGCTATGTGCTCAGGTGGTACACAGATTAGTCCTGTCAATTTAAGAAGGTGCTCCTAATGACAACTCGTTATGTGTATAAAAGACACCTGCCCACAGAATCTTTCCTCCATTCAAACCTCACCACCATGGGCAATTGACCAAAGAGCTGTCAAAGGATGTCAGGGACACGCCTGTAGACCTGCACAAGGCTGGAACGGGCTACAAGACCATCAGCAAGAAGCTTGGTGAGGAGACAACTGTTGGAGCGAATAATCACAAATGAAAAATACAAAATTACCATCAATCGCCATCGGTCTGGAGCTCCATGTAAGGTTTTGCCTCATGGGATAAGGATGATAATGAGAAAAGTGAGAAATCACCCCAGAACTACACGGGAGAAGCTGGTGAATGATCTCAAGGCATTTGGGACTACAGTCACCAAACAAACAATTGGTAACACAATACGCCGCCATGGATTGAAATCCTGCAGCACCTGCAAGGTCCCCTCCTCAAGGAGCCACATGTCCAGGCCGTCTGAAGTTTGCCAATGAACATCTAATGATTCAGAGAAGGATTGGGAGAAAGTGCTGTGGTCAGATGAGACCAAAATTGAGCAAAGAAAACCTGAAATGTGACCTTCAGGTAGTGAATTCTGCATTTGGGGGTTCAAAATTTTTATATACTGTTAGCTACAGAGTGCTTACCAGGTTCCAGACTGTGGAAAGTCTCTTAAAACTCCCCTGTCCTATCTCTGGGCATTGGGAACTACTACAAGTGGTCCACACATATTTTGTTCCCACCTTTTTAGGGTGAGGAACAATATTCCCACCATTGATCTAATTGCAAAGGACACACATCTTTCACCTCACTTTGTGCTTGCCGACACCTACAGTAACCCAATAATCTCTGCCCACTAACCTTTTCCTGTTTTCAACAGTTGGTTTGTGAGTAACCAAGTTGTTCTCTTGGAGTTTTAAATGATGTTGTCTCAGTCTAGCACATGTGCTCACATCGGTTTTCAGTAGCATTTAATTTTATACACAGATTGACATCACATCCTGTCTCATTTTGTCCTCCTCATCAGTACCAGCCATTGTGTCCCCCACCAACAGTGTCCTGCGTGATTATGTCCTCCTGCACCCACCATTCTATCCATCACCATTCTTTCCTCCTCTACTGTGCCGCCGCTCTGTCCCCCACCATCCGTGCCCAACAACATTCCCCTTGCACCAGACATACCGGAGGAGCAGCATTATCCCAGCCACGATCTGACATGAGGGAAAGTATTGTGGGCAGTATAGACAGAGCACAATTCTGCTTTCCCTCCCACTTCCTGTCACACAGGGGTCATGCAGAGCAGGGCTGTCAGTTTGGTCTGCGTTTCAGTGTGGAGCTGTGAGGAAAAATGGAGACATGCTGCATAATTCTGCACTGCTCCGCACGTTTTGGTGTGAACAAGAGACTTATATAAAACAATTGTGTGTATCGCAGAGACCTGCAGTTTGGCAGTCTGTGCAGATGGTATGAATGAGCCCTTAGACATGTCTAAATCTCCCTCAACTGTGCATTTTTACCCCCCCCCCCCCCAACCACAGGTCTAAATGAGGCTTTACACTTTATTTTACATACACATTACATTATATTTTCACAATTTTTTTTTTTTGGGAGGGGGGGATCCCTGATGTCTCACTTTAAAAAGAAAGAAAAAAGGGATTGAGATCATTCCCCATTTTTTTTCTCTGCAGCATGGCTGCACTACAGAATGAGCAGGAGGCTGTATACGGAGACTCATGCTCATTCATAAACTGAAACAGAGTAAATATTGTGTATGCTTCATATATAATGAACACAGCGAGTGATTGGCACCGATCACTCGCTGTGTTTATTCATAAGAAGAAGGGGTCGGTAAATGACATTTACTGGCCCCTTTTCCTGCTTTCCATCCTAAACAATTCCTGTGTGCTCATTGCAACCCCTAAAAGCCAGAGGGAGGGAGAGGGGGAGAAGCTGGCCAGCAACAGCTTCAGTGAGGAGAAGCTGGCCATCTGTAGCCCCCTGTGACCACCATCTGCTACTTCCTGCTGCCCCCTTATATGCGGTCCTGCTGTTGGGACACTGGGAGAGAAGGCACCGCTCTGCTCTCCTTTTCACTGCCTCTCACATGGAGTGCAGAGCAGTGCTGTCAGTTTCCATCAGTGTAGCTGCAGGCATTCTACATAATTCCGCACATCACACCTGCGTTTGGTGTGGACCACATAGAAAACAATTGTTTTGCAGAGACTTGCTTTTTTCTAATGTAGAAAAACACAGGTTTCTGCTTATGGTGTGAATGAGTCCTTTAGGCTGGAAAAGTATACAAAGTAATTTCTAAGTATTTAGGCATCTGTCAGTCGACCGTTAAGCCTTGTTCACACCATACGTGCATGAAAACTGATGGCAATTCACGCAGATTTCACTTGCAGAGACATGAGTTTACATCAGTTTCATATCAGTTTTTATACATGTTGACATCAGTTTTCATGTGTGTCAGTTACGTACCCTGTTCACACCGCAGTGTTGATGTCATGCCCGCACGTAATACCAGTGTTTTTTTTTGTGTGAACAGAGCACATAGACAAGGGCAAAAAAAAAAAAAAGAAAAAAACCTATTGGTCTCTAAGGTGTGCAGAAAAACTGACGCATCTGCACATGGTGTGAATGAGTACTTAGACAAATTGTCCATAGAGACAGTTTAGAACTGTGTAATTCCAAGGGGTTCATATACCTTTTCTTACCACTGTAACTTTGGCTAAAATTGGTCTGCTGAACTGCAACACAGAAAATGCTTGCTGTGCATGCCTTTTGCTGACATAACATCTTTTTGGGGTTTTTAGATCTCTTTAAGGAAGTATTTGGTAGGAAGAATCCTGACTTTTCTGCAATTTGACCTGAAACAATATCTGGTCCTGAGCACTGTCAAGTGACATTTCAGATCTGCGATCTTGTTCCAAAGACTTCCATTCTTTGGTTAAGACATTTTTGTGGGGTGTCTCATATTCCCACCTGTGAATGTGGGATCTAAATTTGGTTCTGTCAGCTCTTCAGAAACAACCTTTTGAACCTATCAGGGATATTTTCCCCTTACTCTCAAATTTACCTTCCTTCTTGCCACCACCTCTGCAAGGCCTTTGTCTAAGCTAGCTGCCCTGCCTTGTAATGAACAATCCTTTTAAGGTGGTTTTGGTATTTCGTCTTAACCAGGGCACTGGGTTTATATTTCTTTGTTCGGTCTGAAAATACAAAAAAAGATTTCTCTTTACATCTTGGAAGTAGTTCATGCTGTTTGCTTTCATCTTGCAGTCACTCCTTCCTCTTAAATGTCTCTCTTTTTGTCATTCCTGATGGCCCCCAATATGCGGGACCACCTTCTTGATGCACTCTCTTTATGGTGCACACAGATCGTTTAGGCTTATGGCCTTAATCACAAAGTTCCAGCTTTTCCCTTCAAAGCACATTCTAGATTTTTGAGTGTTTATTAGGCATCTATTTTCCAGATTTGCAAGACTATCACCTGGTGGATGTTTAACCCCTTGGCGCCGTTGCCTCCCAGCCCTTTAAGGGTTTCAGGAGCCGGGAGGTGGGTTTTAGGGTCATGTGACCGCTGTGATTCACTGTCACGGCGGTCACATGATCAGGAAAGGTCCCAATCGAAAGAGATCGGGACCTTTCCGTGAGTACCGGACATGTGTGCTGGGAGTGCGCATTCTCAGCACATATGTTTTTCGTAATTGCACACAAATATGCGGCCGCTCAGCGTCTAGGCATTTGTGTACGGCCTACGTGAAGAAGTTAAGACTCATCCATCGCCATCTTCAGGCATAAGGTCTTTCAGGCAGTCCTTTGAGCTGCAGGCTGCCCCGTTTTTACTTCTTTGTTATGTGGGCCCATTAGTGTCGCTGTTGCTCACCCTTCAGGTGGACTGTTTTTGAATGGTCCTACTGTCTATGAAATACTACTAATCCTGTGTTCCTTGAAGAAACAACAATACTTCTACTGTTGCTTTTCTACAAGCTGAACAACCATTGGAATGGGAAGGGCTACACCTGGCTGGCCAAAAGCTTGTTTACCAATGTCCAATTCCTCCTGAAGGCAGCAGTATAACCCATATATTCTATGAATTACTACTGATCCTGTGTAAACTAAATACAGACAATTATGCTTGAAATGACTGCGCAATTAAAATACTATGGTCTGAATGTGTTACGCGCAGCAGCAATTTTCGGCCATGCTAGTGACATCACTAAGACATCATCTGCAGATGGTGGCGTTTCCAGGTTCCATTGCGTAAAAGACTGAAAAGTGGTTCTGACTGTCAGTGAACGATCCTGGAATAAAGGAAGACAAAGCAATGTGATACCTATTTTAAAGGGATCCTAAATCCAAACATCTTGGTTCATGAAGGCAAATGTACAGCTTTAACCCTCAAATGGGAGTAATTTTTTGCAATCTGCTCATCTAAAAATCCCTCCCAAGCTGGTGGCTCCTGCAACCTAAGGGCTGAACAGGTCATGAGTGTCAGAATGTTCATTTTAAGATAGCCGCAAACTACAATCAGATTGTAAAATCACCAATCTACTTTAGATGTACCTACTACATATATACATATTTCTAACGTGCCAACAAAATGTTTTACAATGCCACTGAACATCAATGTTGTGCAATATTTTTTTCTTTATTGGGGGACGGGGTCTTAAGTGTGTTTGGGGTTATCTATATCATCAAGCCGATGCATCTAACATTTCACCTTTCTTCCACTAATAACAAAAGACATGCACTTGGCTTCCTGTGTAACTTTTAGGGCTAAGCACACCTTAAATTAATTTTAACCACCTCAATACCATCACATTTCTTCATTTCCAAAAAAAAAAAAAAAAAAAAAAAAAAAAGGTAATTTTGGAGGTGTTCATACTGTTTTGCCATTTTTTATTAATATGTTTTACAGCAGAGAGGCGTTTTCCTCCCTTCTATCGTAAAAAGTACTACAAAAAAAAAAAAAAAAAAAAAAAAAAATTACAGTGGTTATGAAATACAAAAACGTGGTCTTGAAAATCAATAAAATTAATTTGGGTTCAGTTTTGCAATGAAGAAACAATTGTCAAAACTATGAGAGCACTGAGAAATGAAAGCAGGCCTGGACAGGAAGGGGGTGCAACATGCCAGGCCTGAGGTTAAGGATATACAGTGGGGCAAAAAAGTATTTAGTCAGCCACCAATTGTGCAAGTTCTCCCACTTAAAAAGATGAGAGAGGCCTGTAATTGGCATCATAGGTAGACCTCAACTATCAGAGACAAAATGAGAAAAAAAATCCAGTAATGTATGGCCATGATCAGCAACTTATAGCAGGACTGTGGCGGGCATTTTGACACTGTGGGGAACTGACTAACTGCCATTGACATCCCAGTGATTAGTGCTAATAAACAATGGCACTGTACTAATAACACTGGGAAAGGAGGGGTTAACATCTGTGGCGATCAAAAGGTTAACAGTGTGCTGTGTTGTGTTTTACAGAGTGTGCTGTGTTGTACTATGTAGACAAGCTGCTTTGTATTGCTCTGCTGTGCAGAGCAATACAAAGCAGCCTGTTTGTGCTGACAGGGGAGAGATCTGTGTTGTTTACACACAGACCTCTCCCCTTTCACTGTTCCTGGGTGATCACCAGATGCCAGCGGGGAATCTCCAGTTGGGACCCAGTGATCAACAGCTGTAGCTGCCAAGGTCGGCGCGTGCGCGCCCCCTATCCCGGAAATGCAAAATCACGTACAGTGGATATAAAAAGTCTACACACCCGTTAAAATGTCAGGTTTCTGTGATGTAAAAAAAACGAGACAAATAATTTCAGAACTTTTTGCACCTTTAATGTGACCTATAAACTGTACAACTCAATTGAAAAACTGAAATCTTTTTTGGAGGAGGAGTAAACAAAAAACTAAAATGTGGTTGCACAAGTGTGCACACCCTCTTATAACTGGGGATGTAGCTGTGTTCAGAATTAAGCAATCACATTAAATAAGAGTCAGTACACACTTGCCATCAATTCAAGTGCCTCTGATAAACCCCAAATAAAGTTCAGCTGTTCTAGTAGGTCTTTCCTGACATTTTCTTAGCCACATCCTACAAGCAAAAGCCATGGTCCGCAGAGAGCTTCCAAAGCATCAAAGGGACCTCATTGTTAAAAGTAGTGGTACACGGAAATGAAAATTCTGGTGCCAAAAGCAAAAATTCAGGATGCACTTGGCCGAATACTGAAACAGATGTTTTTTTTTAAAAATGTATATATATTTTTTTTTGGGGGAAAAAAAAAAAAAAAAAAAAAAAAAAAAAACCACACTTGTGGGTTTTTTTTTTTTTTTTTTTTTTAAATCATAACAATATATACCCAAATGTTTTTGCAAATTATGAAAGATTATGTTACGGTGAGTAAATAGATATCCAACATGTCATGCTTTCAAATTGCACACTCTCATGGAATGACGTCAAACTATGGTACTTAAAAATCTTCATAGTGAAATCACTCTGGTCCTCCAAGGGCATAGAGATGAGTGGAGGCCATCTTTCCTTCACTTATCTCTATGCCCAGCACTGGGATCATTCAGTGATTTCTCAGGTAAAGGTGAAAGCCACCGAACGGCGCTGTATCGGTGCTTATTTTTATATTGGCCAACATGGTTGTTTTTGGCCGAAACGTTTCGGCCACTAAAAAGGTCGGTGCAACCCCAAGTTAAAAGGTATCAGTCAGGAGAAGGGTACAAAAGAATTTCCAAGGCATTAGATAGACCATGGAACACAGTGAAGACAGTCATCATCAAGTGGAGAAAATATGGCACAACAGCGACATTACCAAGAACTGGACGTCCCTCCAACATTGATGAAAAGACGAGAAGAAAACTGGTCTGTGAAGCTGCCAAGAGGCCTACAGCAACATTACAGGAGCTGCAGGAATATATGGCAAGAACTGACTGTCTGGTACAAGTGACAACAATCTCCCGTATTCTTCACATGTCTGGGTAGAGTGGCAAGACGGAAGCCTTTTTTTTTTTTTTTTTTTTTTTTAATGAAGGAAAACCTCCTAGTCCAGCTAAATTTTACAAAAAACAAAAAAAAAAAAACACATCTGAAGTCTCCCAAGAGCATGTGGGAAAATGTGTTATGGTCTCATGAAACCAAGGTTGAACTTTTTGGCCATAATTCCAAAAGATATGTTTGGCACAAAAACAAAACTGCACTTCACCAAAAGAACACCATACCAATAGTGAAGCATAATGGTGGCAGCATCGTGCTTTGGGGCGGTTTTTCTTCAGCTGGAACTGGGTCCTAATGCAGGCCATAGATGGGTCGAAAAATCGGCCGATTTTTTCGGCCGAACATAAAATCGGACGATTTTCGGATCGTTAGTGGGCTAATTGTTCGGCCGTTTTTCGGTATTTTGGCAGATTTTTTTTTTATCGGTAAAGTTGGAAAAAAATCAGCCGATTTTGCCGATCGGCCGATTTTCGCGGCAATGATGGGCAAATCGGCCGATCTTTTTACAGATAAAAAAAAATCTGCGCATGAGCAGTGACCTGCAAGAGGAAGACAAAAAGAAGAAGAAGAAAAAAGAAGAAGAGGATGAAGAAGAAGAAGAGGATGAAGAAGAAGAGGATGAAGAAGAGGAGGATGAAGAAGAAGAAGAGGAAGATGAAGAAGAGGATGAAAAAGAGGATGAGGATGAAAAAGAGGATGAAGAAGAAGAAGAGGATGAAGAAGAAGAAGAGGATGAAGAAGAAGAAGAGGATGAAGAAGAAGAAGAGGATGAAGAAGAAGAAGAGGATGAAGAAGAAGAAGAGGATGAAGAAGAAAAGGAATTCCAGTCTGGCAAAAAATGTCCCTGCAGAGAGCTCCGCTATTTCTTTGACAGTTCCTTGACATTTATAGCGGTTGCAACATTGTATCTATTTGTTTCTGAATAAAAACATCTGTATCCTAAATGGATACAAATACATTGTTGCAACCGCTATAAATGTCAAGGAACTGTCAAAGAAATAGCGGAGCTCTCTGCAGGGACACTTTTTGCCGGCTGTGGACGGGATGAAAAAATCGGCCAATTTTTTTTACCGTTGCTGGTAACGTCGGCCGCTTGAACGACCGATTTTACGTTTTTTTTTTAAAGAAAATCGGCCGATTTTCGACCCATCTATGGCCTGCATTAGTCAAGGTAGAGGGAATTATGAACCATTCCAAATACCAGTCAATATTGGCACAAAACCTTTAGGGTTCTGCTATAGAGCTGAACATGAAGAGGAACTTCATCTTTCAGCATGGAAACGACCCAAATCATACATCCAAATCAACAAAAGGAATGGCTTCACCAGAAGAAGAATAAAGTTTTGGAATGGCCCAGCCAGAGCCTAGACCTGAATCCGACTGAAAATCTGTGGGGTGATCTGAAGAGGGCTGTGCACAGGAGATGCCCTTGCAATCTGACTGATTTTGAGTGTTTTTTGCAAAGAAGAGTGGGCAAATATTGCCAAGCCAAGATGCTGATAGACTTAGACTGGGAGGGAATATTGATGAACACAACACAGAAATGGGAGTTCTTCAAAAAGACTGTATGCGAACATGCTGCAAAATATATTCCATGGGCAACAAGTTTAAAAAGGCAAAAAAATCAAACCTATGAGGCGTACGGCCAAAGTTAAAACAGCTATCGATAATAAGAAAAGAGCTTTTATTAAATATAAAAATGAAGGAACGCTATCATCGTTTAAACATTACAAAGAATATAACAGAATATGCAAAAAGGAAATAAGGCCGCAAAAATTTAAAATGAACAACAGATTGCAAAAGATAGCAGGACCAACCCCCAAAAATCCTTCAAATATATTAATAGTAAAAAGGTCCGGTCCAAGCATGTAGGCCCTTGACAAAATTACCTAGTGTGTGACTGTGGACAAAGAGAAGGCAAATTTATTAAATACCTTCTTCAGCTCTGTGTATACAAAGAAGCAATACCTTGGACAGAGGGGTGGCGGTGGACGTGGTATACTTGGATTTTGCAAAAGCGTTTGCACAGTTCCCCAAAAGCTAATGTGTAGGTAAAGTCTACAGGCTTGGAAAAATCCATATGTAAATGGATAGAAAACTGGCTAAAAGATCCTATTCAAAGAGTAGTGATTAATGATTCATACTCTGAATGGTCTAGGGTTGTCAGTGATGTACCCCAAGGTTCAGTGTTGGGGACCCTTACTTTTTAATATATTTATAAACGATATATGGTCTGAGATTAAAAATCCTATTTCAGTCTTTGCAGATGACACCAAGCTGTGCAGTGGAATAACGTCCTTACAGGATGTCTTCAACGTACAAGCCAACCTCAAATGACTGTTTAATTGAGCAACTATGTGGCAAATGAGGTTTAATGTTGATAAATGTAAGGTTATGCACTTGGGGGCTAAGAATATGCATGTATTATACATACTGGGGGGGTACAACTGGGGAAATCAATGGATGAGAAGGATCTGGGAGTTCTGGTAGATCACAAGCTTAATAATGAGATGCAATGCCAAGCTGCGGTTTCTAAAGCGAGCAAAATCCTCTCTTGTATTAAAAGAGGTATAGACTCCAGAGAGAGAGATATCATATTACCCCTGTACATATCATTAGTAAAACCTCATCTGGAATATGCAGTTCAGTTTTGGGCACCAATTCATAAAAAGAACATTGGGGAACTGGAGAAACTACAGAGAAGGGCAGATAAGAAGCATGGAGGAGCTCGGATATGAGGGAAAAATTAGAGGAACTGAATTTATTCTCTTTTGAGAACAGGAGATTAAGGGGGGATATGATCAACATGTATAAAATACATCAGTGGTTCATATAGTGAACCCGGTGTAGAGCGATTCACCCTGAGGTCATCACAGAAGATAAGGGAGCACTCTAAGTCTGGAGGAAAAGAAATTTAAACTCCAAACACGGAAAGGTTTCTTCACAGTGAGAGCTGTAAAAAATGTGGAATAGACTCCCTCAAGAGTTGGTTCTGGACAGCTCAGTGGATTGCTTCAAAAAAGGTCTGGATTCTTTCTTAGATACACAGAATATAACTGGATATTAACATTTATAGGTAAAGTTGATCCAGGGTATATCCGATTGCCTCTCAGGGGATCAGGAAGGAATTTTTTCTCCCTGCAGGAGCAAATTGGATCAAGATTTGCTGTTTTTTTTTGCCTTCCTCTGGATCAACTGTGGGTATAGGATGATAACATTTTTTTTTTTTTTTTTTTAAATGGTTGAACGTTTGTCTTTTTTTAGCCAGACTAACTATGTAACTATGTAGACTCATAGGCCCCATGTACACGGGACACTTCTGAACGATGGAAACTGACTGCTGGAAAACGTAGGTAAAAAAAGTCTGTTTAGCCGCATTTACAAGCGTTTTGCGTTTGAAACGCTGATAAAATCGACTGCTGAACACAAGTTTGGTGCGTTCAAAAAAACGACTGTAAACTCACATGCCTATAAACAAAGATGTGTACATGGACACATAGGAAAACATTAGGGTGAGTTCAGGAGCTGCTGGAAAAAAAACGCTGAACAGCTCCTAAATGTGAGTTTATCAGCAGCAGTGTACATGAGCCCTTACCCAAAAAGACTGAGTGCTGTAATAAAATCAAAAGGTACTTCAAAAAAGTATTAGTTTAGGGGGGCACACTTATGCAACCATATTATTTTAACTTCCCTCCAGTTTGTTGTTCAACTATGTTGTACAGTTTATAGGTTACAATAAAAAGGTAGAAAAAAAGTTCTGAAATGATTTATCTTTGTCTAATTTTTTTACATCACAAAAACCTGACATTTTAACAGGGGTGTGTAGACTTTTTATATCCACTGTATGTATACATGATTTTGCACAGCCCTGCAGCAGTATTTCTGCTATAGGGTGGCAGGGAACCAGTTAAACAACATATGAGCAAAACCAATAAGCAAGAATATACATAGTACTTACATACTGAAGAAATTTTTGTTTTAAAATGACAGTTGAGTGAAATAATCTAATTATGCTATGTCACATAAGCAGTTTTACCTCTTCCTCAGAGAAAGGTTTATTATCCTCCTTCAGGACAATCCCCATATAGCCTTCAGGTACAGCAACTTCCTGTCCTCGGAGCATTCTGCCTCTGAAAGAGACCTCTTTACCTGTATAAAAGAAGGGAAATTGCAATAAACAAATTAGCTATTTTCATATATCCAGGCATACTGAGCAACCTTACAATTTTAACCTGTTAGTCTGCCTTTTCTTAGTGTTTTCAGATCTATCATCATATTCTTAGGCCAGTATAAATATCGCTCTGTTTACATTCAGGAGTAATAAATGAAAAGATTTAATTTGGCATACTTGTTTGATTCAGTGTCTTCACTGACAGGGAAATGTGAAATGTGCATAAAAAAAAACGTTTTTAATGTATACATAACTGTACATTTGTTTTCCTTTTAATTCAACTGAGGTTCAGCTCTACAATCAACGGCATTAGATAATCACATCTTTTTGTCTTAGTCCCATTATTCTTATGGTTAGGATCCTTCAAGAGCCTGGAGCAGCTCTGTGACAATAATAGCCCACTATCAGTAGACACTGGGTCGCAAGAGAGCAAAAAGTAAGTGCACACCTGTGACCTACAGGTCAAAAAAATCTTCGGCCATACATCTGCCCCTAGAATAAATGATGAATTAACTCTTGCAGTACTGGCGACCTCACTGTAAGGGTATTTTTTTTTTCCTGGAGCTGGGCTTTAAGACCTTGTTCACACTACATCATACGCCTGTGTGAGCGCCACACCAAAAATGCATTTTTTGACAACAGCCTAATCCCACATCTGCAGCGATGAGCCTTGCGTTCCAGTAAGGTGCATCTTCCAGCCAGCAGATCCTTCCGGTTCCAATGGGGTCACATCCAGTGCGCCACTTCCAGCTTGAGTCCCCAACTCCTAGCAGGGTTTTGGAGTGATCGCAGTGCCTTTACCTCTTGCATCTTAGCTCTCCCCACAGCTTGAGGATACATGAGCAGCAACAACTTTGACCAATCTTACGCCATGTTACAACTGTTGATTCTTGGTCACCGCTACACAGGCATGACACTGTCACTTCTGGATGAGTAAGCATTATAATTGTATTTATTTATTTCAGGTACTTATATAACGCTATCACTTTACGCAGCGCTTTACATATATATTGTACATTCAAATCAGTCCCTAACCCTCAAGGGATGTACAATCTTAACTCACATTCATACAAACACATACTAGGGCCAATTTGGACAGGAGCCAATTAACCTACCAGCATGTCTTTGGCATGTGGGAGGAAACCGGAATACCTGGAGGAAACCCAAGCAAGCACAGGGAGAACATGGAAATTTTGGATTACTTTGGATGACTTTTGAGACTGGTATTTCTGATCACATAAGATTACAGTCTTTGTAAGTGTGATAAACAATTTGAAGATTACAATTTTATAATAAAATCCCTATGTGCTTTTAAAAGATAAAATTGTGGTACAGGAGTCCGTATTTATTTCTCCCAATTATTGTGATACTGCAAATTTACAGAGGTATCTCCAAGCACCTTCTGAACTGGACTTTTGGATGAAGCTTTAAATGCCTTTAGTGGTTATCAGTGTAGAGTTACACAGGAGGTCTGGTGCTTGAATTTTTGCTCTTGCTTGGATAGTCGCGGCAATACCTCACATGTGCTGCAATTGCCGTTTATGTATGAGTACGAGCAAGGGGGAAACAGTGGGTGTCGCAAACGTGCGTGCCAGAGACTGACGCAGTCTGTAGCCATGTTATTCCCTCATTCTCCTTCCCCCTCCGTTCCTGAGAGGCACAGTGACAGATGTGTGTTAAAAGTGTCACAGGCCAGCTCCTGGCAGGGAGCCAGGTGGTGCAGCACTGTCCAAAGAACCTGTGTAATTTCACACCTTGTAAAAAGATAAGGGAGCCTTCCCAGGAGTTCAAGGCATTCCCAAGAAGCCCACACCAGTTAACATTTTTAAAAGATCCATTTTTCCCCTATGTCTCATATCTTGGAATATGAGAGACATACATAAAAGCTGGACATATCATTGGATGGACGATGAGCAGGCAAACAGTTTTATGGGTCACTCGCCTTATCTTGGACCATCAGGGAAGCCGAAACATAGAACTCGTGAACCGTGCAATATATAATTTTGTAATTCATATCGAAATAATCCTCAGACTTGTCTGCATAATAATATACCCGCGGGTGGACTGTCGCTTGTGCAGATGGAAAGTTATGGACCAGAATATGAATTATGAAAGATGTGGGCTCCAGTTTAGGATTCCGCCTGATGATCCCTCCCTAAACAGGGGATTGGTCTTTTACTTCAGAACCACCACCTGCTGGGAAACTTTAAAGCAGGCTGTCAAGCCTAAGAGTTAAGTTTGAAGACATCTCCCATTTTAACATCAATATACCACCTGGAGAGACCTGTGCCTTTCGCTCTGAAACGTGATCAGCTTACATCCAAGGCTTAATGGCAAATAACTTAACCCTTTAACTTTTCCGTTATCTCTTTGCTGTGCTGTTTTCGATAGATAGATAGATAGATAGATAGATATAGATATATATCTATCTTAGTTACATCTTCTCTGTAAATATTTTTATTGCACCTGTTTGACCCTTTTAGTAATAAATCTTTCTTTCTGAAAGTGTTGAACTGTTTCTATAGCTCTTAATTGCAATTTACGAATCTCTGCCTTTAAAGAGACACTACTGTTTGTGTTAACCCTCTGTATAACAGGCCTGTATTATGACCAGGTTATGCAGTCGATTATATCAACCATTATAGTGTCATAGCTGAACGCGAGTTTCCTTTTTCTCTGATCAAAAAGGAGGTGGTGGTAGTGTGGAGGGTTAGTTGCGTAATTAACCGGACCCAGTAACAATCGATTCAGGCTGCTGGCACATCGATCAGTATCCTTTAGCTGGAAAATCGTTGTGCTCGGAGAGGCACTGGACGGCTGCGGAAGTGGGGGGTAGGGGGGGGGACACCTCCTTTCACCACCTGCAAAACCAATCCAGTGGCTAATTAGCTGGTAAGATTGCTTATAACAAAAAAAAAAAGAAAAAAAAAAAAGAAGAATCGGCTACAGTAGAAAAAACAATACCGGGGTGATGCCTGTAGCTGCTGCTGATGTACATTAGGTGGTCTTCAAGTGGTTAATCCCTTGGCGCCGGCACCTCCCAGCCCTTTAAAAATTTCAGAAGCCAGGAGGTGGGGGGCGGGGTTTTAGGGTCATGTAACCGCCGTGATTCGCTGTCACATGATCGGGAAAGGTCCTGATCGAAAGAGGAGATCGGGACCTTTCTGTGAGTACCGAATATGTGTGCTGGGAGCACGCGCTCTCAGCACATATATTTTTCTTAATTGCACGCAAATATGTGGCCGCTCGGCGTCAAGGCCCAGACGCCGGGCAGCCGCACATGTGCGTACGGCCGGCGCCAAGAGGTTAATGTACTAAGCACGCTGAGTGTTCACACATTTGGACACAATTATGCACATCAAGCATTTTTTTCTGCCAAAACACCACTGCTCCTAGGGGAGCCGACTGGGTTTGGTTTTCTGCCTCTAAACACCTATGTGTGGGCAGATGCATAGACCAACATGGAGGGGTGTTTAGAGGCAGGGGGAAAAAAAAAAACACCAAGTGCCCTCAAAAGCAGCACTCTTAGGCATGAGGACTAACAGACAACCACTTACCTGTGTGTATAGGGGGCATGTAGTACAGATACCTACCTCCACCAGTCAGGGTACTGGGTGGAATGCTCCTCATACAGCATACTCAGAGGTAGGTAGGCAGTACCAGGCCCTCTCTCTCCCTCCCTCAATAATCAGCCCACTCACCTCCAGAGGCCTCCCTCATGGCCGGGGTGAAGTACTCGGTGACTCTGGCCGCCCCCTGTCTCTGTATCACACAGGGGAGGAGGTGGAGCGGCTCCTGGGTAGCCGAGGACAGGGTGTGGAGCTCCAGGCGGGCGCAGGGGGCAGCGCGGCTGTCAGTCATGTCTGAGGAAGGACAGATGTACATTATACAATGACCCATTCATCTCTATAGAAGCACATTGATCACACCAACCTTTCCAACACTCACCTACTGCACTCTCCCGCCACCGCACAGACTGCAGGAAGTGACGGTGAACGGCACCCATGCTGTTAGGTATGCTGGGAAATGTAGTCGTACTCTGGAAATTTAATATGTGACCTACAATAAAGGACAGCTATCGTCATATTCTTAGAACATGTACATCACCTGCCGCATATTTATAGCTCAGTTAATGTCGGATAACTAGGAAAAAAAAAATACTGTCAGAAGTGGGATTCGAACCCACGCCTCCAGAGGAGACTGCGACCTGAACGCAGCGCCTTAGACCGCTCGGCCATCCTGACAAGTTATGTGAAGACTAGTTGTGTATTGTGGTCCAGTCATTGGGTTTTGTAATGTACTAAATCTATATTCTGGAATTATCAGAAGTTCCTTGTTTGAGGCCCCATTCACGTCATCACGTTCTGGAAACGTGTGCAGAAGCACACATCACACTTGCGATGCCATTGTTTCTCAATAGCACCCTAAATGTGGCTAGGAGATGCGCTTTTTGTTGTACAACAAAACGTATGAAAAATGTTCTTTACAAAATGCATGAGGCTCAGTGCCAAAAAAAGGTGCAGGGCCTACTTTAGTGTATTTGTCAACAAACATGAAAAACGCGTGTCTCAGAAAGCTGGGGGGAAAGAGAGGGGGGTCAAACTTCGGCTTGGGTCACCTAGTCGATTCACCCACACAGGGGTGTGCATGTGTTCCATGTATCCCTGTGTAGGCAGACCCATTGATGTCAGTTGGGATGCAGCGGTTGCACAAAATCAGACGCTGCTCCCAATTTGACATCTGTACTGGTACATGGAACTGAACACACTGTTAGTTCCGGGACATGCATCTGCACCCACACAGATATATCAAACTGACAGCGGCAACTGTATTTGTGCCGCCATTGCGTCCCATTTGACATCAGTGGGCTGCCTGCATAGGGATACGCCGAACACCTGTACATCTCTGTGTGGGTAAACATGGCCTTGCACAGGTGTGCGCATTGATGTGCCCCATGTGAACAATTCTAAGACAGTGGTCTCCAAACTGGTGCGGCCCTTTGCTTGCTTTTATCCAGCCCTTGGGCAATATTTCATCCACTGATACCAACAGTGGGGCAAAATTCTCCCCATTGACACCAATGATGGGGCACAATTCCTCCCAATGACACCAATGATGGGGCACAATTCTTTCCAATGACACCAATGGTGGAGCAAAAAATTCCTCCAAATGACAACAATGATGGGGCACAATGCTTCCCAATTACACCAATGATGGGGCCCACTGACACCAATGATGGGGCATAATTCCACCTACTGACATCAATGATGGGGCATTATTCCTCCATATGACACCAATGATGGGGTGCTATTCCTCCCAATGATGCGAACGATGAGTCACAATTTCTACTAATGACACCAACAATGGGGCTCAGTGACCCCACTGATGGGGTACACTTGCTCTCACTGACACATTTGATGAGGCACAATTCCTCCCGCTAACCCCTAAAAATGGGGCATTGTTTTTCCCACTGACAATGGGACCTTTTCTACTCCCAAAGGCCACAGTCCCACCCCCCTAAAGTCTGAAGGACAGTAAACTGGTCCTTTGTCTAGAAAGTTTGGAGACCCCTGGTCTAAGAGTTTTACTAAATGCAGCAGCCAGTAATAGGACACCATCATTACAGGTAATTGATTTTTAGATAACAAATGGCAAGAAATTTTTTTTTTCCTCCAGAGTTCATTTTCAAAGTACATATATACCCTCACCTTGTAAAACAACCCATTCAGTTTAAAATAGAAATGAGAGGTAAAGCACTTGTGCATAGTGTAGTGCTACCCCCTTAAGGGCAGCTGAGTATTTTTGGGTTCCATGTCTGTCCTGAGTCTGCTATGAAAACTCAACCCCTGCTGACACCACTGTAAACATTTGACCAGGAGGACCCCCCCCAGCTTGGAACCATAAATAAATACACACAGTACATGTGAAACTCGAAAAATTAGAATATCGTGCAAAAGTTCATTTATTTCAGTAATGCAACTTAAAAGGTGATACTAATATATGAGATAGACTCATAACATGCAAAGCAAGATAGTTCAAACTGTGATTTGTTATAATTGTGATGATTACGGCTTACAGCTCATGAAAACCCCAAATCCACAATCTCAGAAAATTAGAATATAGTGAAAAGGTGCAATATTCTAGGCTCAAAGTGTCCCTCTAATCTAATCAGCTAATTAAGCCATAACACCTGCAAAGGGTTCCTTCGCCTTTAAATGGTCTCTCAGTCTGGTTCAGTAGGAATCACAATCACGGGAAAGACTGCTGTCCTGACAGTTGTGCAGAAAACCATCATTGACACCCTCCATATGGAGGGAAAGCCTCAAAAGGTAATTGCAAAAGAAGTTGGATGTTCCCAAAGTGCTATATAAAAGCACATTAATAGAAAGTTATGTGGAAGGGAAAAGTGTGGAAGAAAAAGGTGCACAAGCAGCAGAGATGACCGCAGCCTGGAGAGGATTGTCAGGAAAAGGGCCATTCAAAAGTGTTGGGGACTTTCACAGGGAGTGGACTGAGGCTGGAGTCAGTGCATCAAGAGCCACCACACACAGACGGATCCTGGACATGGGCTTCAAATGTCGTATTCCTCTTGTCAAGCCGCTCCTGAACAACAAACGTCAGAAGCATCTTACCTGGGCTAAAGGAAAACAGACCTGGTCTGTTGCTCAGTGGTCCAAAGTCCTCTTTTCTGATGAGAGCACATTTGCATCTCATTTGGAAACCAAGGACCCAGAGCATGGAGGAAGAATGGAGAGGCACACACTGCAAGATGCTTGAAGTCCAGTGTGAAGTTTCCACAGTCTGTGTTGATTTGGGGAGCCATGTCATCTGCTGGTGTTGGTCCACTGTGCTTCATTAAGTCCAGGGTCAACGCAGCCGTCTACCAGGAGATTTTGGAGCACTTCATGCTTCCTTCCGCAGACGAGCTTTATGGGGATGCTGACTTCATTTTCCAGCAGGACTTGGCACCTGCCCACACTGCCAAAAGCACCAAAACTTGGTTCAATGACCATGGGATTACTGTGCTTGATTGGCCAGCAAACTCGCCTGACCTGAAACCCATAGAGAATCTATGGGAAATTGCGAGAGAAAGATGAGAGACATGAGACCGAACAATGCAGAAGAGCTGAAGGCCGCTATTGAAGCATCCTGGTCATCCATAACACCTCAGCAGTGCCACAGACTGATAGCTTCCATGCCATGCCGCATTGAGGAAGTAATTGCTGCAAAAGGGGCCCAAACCAAGTACAGAGTACATATGCATGCTTATACTTTTCAGAGGTCCGATATTGTTCTATGTACAATCCTTGTTTTATTGATTGCATGTAATATTCTAATTTTCTGAGATTGTGGATTTGGGGTTTTCATGAGCTGTAAGCCATAATCATCACAATTATGACAAATCACGGCTTGAACTATCTTGCTTTGCATGTAATGAGTCTATCGCATATATTAGTTTCACCTTTTAAGTTGCATTACTGAAATAAATGAACTTTTGCACGATATTCTAATTTTTCGAGTTTCACCTGTATAGGGTGAAAAAGTATACTGGTTGTATTGAGGTCAGAATTAACCTGTCAGTATGTGCATGAAATAAGAGTTAAATGCTCTAGAACAGTGGTTAACCTGGACCCCTTTGGGGGTCGAACGATTTCACAGGGGGTCGATAAGACCATCGGAAAACATATATTTCCGATGGTCTTAGGAACCGAGACACACGCTCCTCTAGCACATTGCCGCCCCTGTCAATCTGGACACACCCCGGGGATCAATCCTCGCGGTTTGATTAAATCAGTAGATGTAGGCTGGCAACACATGAAATAAGAGTATAAATGCTTAGAACAGTGAGTTTCTCAAGGTCGGAGCGAGTAGGAAGAGGACCGCGGAGAGCTGTGGGTCGTAAGTGTCTGTTCCATGGGAGAGGGACCCCTTTGTGAGCAGGGGTCAGCTAGGTAAGTATCATTGGTGTCAGTATAGTGCCCCATCATTGATGTCACTAATACCAATGATGGGCACTATTCCTCCCCCCACTGACACCAACGATGGGGCACTATTCCTGGGGCACTTAATCCCCCCTGACACCAACGATGGGGCATCTATTCCTCCCCCCACTGACACCAACGATGGGGCACTATTCCTCCCCACCCACTGACACCAACGACGATGGGGCACTATTCCTCCACCCACTGACATGGGGCACATACACTGACACCAACGTTATGGGGCACTATTCCTCCTCCACCCCACGATGGGGCACTATTCCTCCACCAACGACCCAATGGGGCACTATTCCTCCCCCCCACGATGGGGCACTATTCCTCCCCCCACTGACCAACGATGGGGCACTATTCTCCCCCCACTGACACCAACGATGGGCACTATTCCTCCTCCCCACTGACACCAACGATGGGGCACTATCCTCCCCCCACTGACACCAACGATGGGGCACTATTCCTCCCCCCACTGACACCAACGATGGGGCACTATTCCTCCCCCCACTGACACCAACGATGGGGCACTATTCCTCCCCCACTGACACCAACGATGGGGCACTATTCCTCCCACCCCCAGTGATGACACCTGACACGAGTGGGGCACTATTTCCTCCATTCCCACTGACACCAGTGATGGGACACTTTTCCTCCACACTGATGGGGCACATTCCTGACACCTATGATGGGGGACACCTATCATGATGGGGCACTGTTCCCCACTGACACCAGTGATGGGGCACTAGTTCCCTCCACTGACACTAAGATTTCCTCTGGTTTCCACTGACACCAAGTGATGGGGCACTATTCCTCCCACTGACACCAATGACCACTAGTGATGGATGGGGCACTATTCTATTCCCCCCACTGACACCAACGATGGGGACACCTGATACCAATGATGGGCACACAGTTCCCCCCACTGACACCTTACGATGGGGCTACTTCCTCCCCCCACTGGCACCAATGATGGGGCACTTTTCCTCCCACTGACACCAGTGATGGGACACTATTCCTCCCACTGACACCAGTGATGGGACACTATTCCTCCCACTGACACCAGTGATGGGGACACCACTATTCCTCCCACTGACACCAGTGATGGGGCACTATTCCCCCCACTGACACCAATGATGGGGCACTGTTCCCCCCACTGACACCTATGATGGGGCACTGTTCCTCCCACTGGCACCAATGATGGGGCACTGTTCCTCCCACTGGCACCAATGATGGGGCACTATTCCCCCCCACTGACACCTATGATGGGGCACTATTCCTCCCAATGACACCAATGATGGGGCACTATTCCTCCCACTGACACCAATGATGGGGCACAATTCCTCCCACTGACACCAATGATGGGGCACTATTCCTCCCACTGACACCAATGATGGGGCACTATTCCTCCCACTGACACCAATGATGGGGCACTATTCCTCCCACTGATACCAATGATGGGGCACTATTCCCCCCACTAACACCTATGATGGGGCACTATTCCTCCCACTGACACCAATGATAGGGCACTATTCCTCCCACTGACACCAATGATGGGGCACTATTCCCACCACTGACACCAGTGATGGGGCACCATTCCTCTTATTGACATCAGTGATGGGACACTATTCCTCCCACTATCACCAAGGACGTGGCACTACTCCTCCCACTGCAAAATTACAGTTATGAAGTAGCAACGAAAATCATTTTATGGTTGGGGGTCACCACAACATGAGGAACTGTATTAAAGGGTCGCGGCATTAGGAAGGTTGAGAACCACTGCTCTAGAAGGTTCAACAAAGTATTGTAACACAGTATCACATTAACCACTTGCCCTCCTGAGGATTTACCCCCCTTAATGACCAGGCCTCTTTTTCCTACTCGGCACTGCACTAATTCAACTGATAATTGCGCAATCATGCAATGCTGTACCCAAACGAAATTTACTTCCATTTTTCCACACAAATAGAGCTTTCTTTCAGTGGTATTTGATCTTCTGTGCGCTTTTTATTTTTTGCACTATAAACAAAAAAAGACCAAAAATTTTGAAGAAAAACTATATTTTTTACTTTCGGCTATAAAAAATATATAGTAAACTCAAAGTTAGTTATAAATTTAGGCCAAAATGTATTCTGCTACATGTTTTTGGTAAAAAAAAATCCCAATAAGTGTATATTGATTGCTTTATGTGAAAGTTATAGCATCAACAAACTATGGTATAGATAATGGAATTTACACTGCTTTTACTTTCTGACTGCCCATCACATTCCTTGAGGTGCTAAAATACCAGGATAGTACAAACACCCCCAAATGACCCCTTTTTGGAAAGTAGACACCCTAAGCTATCTGCTGAGAGGCATATTGAGTCCATGGAAGATTTTTTTTTTTCCCGCAAGTTTCTGGAAAATGACAAAAACATTTTTTTTCATTTTTTTTTTTTATTTTATTTTACACAAAGTTGTCATTTAAATTATATATTTCTCACACAAGCCGTGGGTATATGTGGAATTACACCCAAAATTACATTCTGCTACTTCTACCAAGTATGGGGATACCACATGTGTGAGACTTTTTGGGAGCCTAGCCACACACCCGAGCCTGAAATCCAATGACCACTTTGAAAGCCTGAAGGTGCGTAATTTCCTCATTTCACTTCCTCACTGCCTATCACAGTTTCGGAGGCCCTGAAATGCCAGGATGGCATCAAACCCCCCCCCCCCCAAAGCCCTTTTTGGAAAGTAGACACCCCATGGAATTTGAAAAGAGGCATGGTGGGAATTTTGATCTATTTTATTCTCCCAAGGTTTTGAAATATAAAATAAAAAACAAAAACATATTTTTTCTTTTCTTTTCTTCATTTTCCAAAAACTTGTGGCAATAAGTGGTACCCCATATGGAAAAAGGATGACACCAAGTCCCAAACTATCTTGCCACTACTCCCCATGTAGTCTGGGCATCCGGGGGGCTCCACATGACTTTTCTTTTTCTCTTTTCTCTCGTAAATCCAAAACGTATATGTATAGCCTGTTGCCCTCTCACAGGTCTTCTACATCTTGACCCCATATCTGGCACGCTTGCTGGGGAAATGAGGGACCCATCAAACGCAGATGATTTGCTGGGGAGTATAGACATCTGCAAATTTTTGGTTAAGGTAATTTACGAGGGGCCAAATTTTGTGGAGCCGGTCAAATTCAGGGTCACACCGAGGACGACAGAGTGTATTGTCATTGAAATGCATAAAACACATTATACTCTCATCTCATAATATGCTTGGCCATGGCAGCAGAGAACACGGGCATATGATGAATCGGGTCTGTGGACCAATACAACCATAATTCATTTTTTAGTAATGCCCATGTTAAGGGTTAGGGCCAAAAAAAAAAATTTTAATTCTGAAACCGTAATGGGTTTCCATGCGAATGGTCTGCCAAGGTTTGAACTTGGTTTTCGGTAATAAATTGTTGTGCACATAAATTGCACAAACAATGCATACAGATATTCTCTTGAAAAACAGCTCCAAAAAAAAATCAAGGGGAGTAGTTAAATTTGCTGTTTCCACCAGATTGGACAGTGAATGGGGGAAGTATGGGTGCTGCAGAATATGTGGGCTGCCAATCGGGATTTGCAAGCACATCCAGAAGGATACTAGTAGCTCTACGGGACTGTGTGCGAATTCTTGGTGGTTGCGGGACATTACTTGTACTGCACTTATGGGACTCGCCACCTCACCAAGTGATACTGCAGTGTTGGTATGTGAAAGACCAGGATATACTAGGCCGCTGGTGCTCGCCAGTTCACCAAAAGGTAGAGCGGCACTAGTACTGGCACTCTGCTGCAATTGAGAGTCGTCAAAATTTACTGGCAAGTGCTAACAGAGATCAGGTCTGATTCTGCGAACACTGCGGTTTTGTGTGCAATGTATCAAGTGATAGTGACCTACTGACACTGCACTTGCTGGGGGAGAAGGGGGGGACAAGCGTAGGGGCTAAACGCAGGTGCTGGCAGGGCTGATCCCACTAACGCTGTGTTTTTGGGGACACTATACTAAAGTGAACGCTGGTATAGTGCTGATCTGATCAATGATATTGATCCGTTCAGACACTATACAAGCAATGGAGGTTTATTGTGTATGAGCATGTTCCTGGAAATCAAGGGGTTAAATGTGATTACTGGTGTACAGACGTGCAATCTGACGCTATCTGGGAGGGGCACGAAAACCACGGGAGCGCGAGTCATGTATATATATGCAATTTTGCGCACCCATATATTCTGCGACATGTCTTTGCTGAAAAAAATCCCAATACGTGTAAATTAATTGGTTTACTTGAAAGTTATAGCGCTTACAAATGGCGATCTAGATACTGGATTTTTGTTTTTTTTATATACTAATAGCGGCGATCAGCAACTTAGGCAGCGATCAGCAACCTATGGCGGCGATCAGCAACCTATGGTGGGACTGCAGCGGACATTCAGACACTGGGGGGGAACTGACTTGGGGTCACTGACATCCCCAGTGACATCAATACAGTGATCAGTGCTAAAAAAAAAAGCACTGACACTGTACTAATGGCACTGGGGAGGAAGGGGTTAACAATGAGAGGCAATCAAAGGGTTAACTGTGTGATGGGAGTGTTTTCCTAGGGGTCGGGGGGGTGTGTGCTTCACTGTAAGCACACTGATCGGGACGGCTGTGCTCAGCCATTCCCGAGCAGTGTGCCCAAATTGACAGGGAGGAGAGCTGCATTGTAAACAATGCAGCCGTTCTCCCTGTCGGTGTTTGCCGGCAATCACTGGACTCCGGCGGGTAATCTCCGGCTGGGACCTGGTGAATGACTCCCTGGGCCACGATCGGCAGTGCCGGTAGGGTGGTCGCGTACCCCCTACCTGAAAATGCAGACCACGTTTATATACATGATCCTACGCACAGGGGCTGCCTTGTCACAGTAAATGTACTGTGGGTTGTCCCCTAGTGGTTAAGCACCTCCCAATTTTCCTACAGGATCAAAATTTAACATCAGTCCCAGCCTCTGAGATATCTCTACCAAAGTGAGCCGGAGAGAAACTACCAAACTGTCAGGCTAACTCGCTTTGGGCTCTCAGTTACTGGTGACTGGGTTTAACTCTGGAGCTGAAGTCTTTTGTTAAAATACATGCAAAAAGGACATTGTTGCTTTTCACCAAAGTGTCCAATCTTCTGCATGCTCGATGGGGCCCTAGTTGGTGCATATTAAGATTCAGAGCCTTCTTTGTGTGAAAGCAAGTTTCCCTCTAGATGGTGAAATCTCAGAAAAAAAAACAACTCATTCTTGAAGTAATGTTGAACTTAAGTGAAATCTCTTCAGGCCAAAGGATGAAGGCAAAGATTTACTGAGATTCTAGAAAGGGGCAGAAGCAGACTTTAGCAGAGGTTGACTCCTCCTAAAAAGGTAGTGAGCTAGTCTGAGGAAGCACATTCCTTTGAAGTTAGAAGAGACTTGAAAGGAGACACTAATATGATTCTATCTTGTGTTCGCTTAATATCCTGCAACCAGTATTACAGGTGAAACTTTAAAAATAAGAATATTGTGCAAAAGTTCATTTATTTCAGTAATGCAACTGTCAGGACGCTGGTGCTCTGCAGGGTCGCGCCGGGCGGCGCATGTGCAGAACACCAGTCCTCACTAGCGGACGAGCAACGGGACCTGGGCGTGCACGGCAGCGGCGGTGTTCGCGCATGCGCACTTGCGATCGCGGACACGCGCCCAGCACCAATGACAGTGCGGGGCGGGCTATTTAAACGTGGAACAGGTATGTCAATTTGCCTTTTGGTCTTACCTGTTCTGTTCCTGATTTGCGTTCCTGTGTTATCCGTTGCCGACCTCTGCTTGTTCCTGATCCTGCTGACTTCTCCTGATTAACCCCTGGCTTGCCTGACCATTCTTCTGCCTGATCCCTGGTACCGCGCTGCCCGCTACCTGCTGAACCTGGCTTGTGACCCCGACCATTCTCTGCTTGATCCTCCACGCTGCCCGCACGATACCGACCCGGCCTGTCTGACTACGCTTACTTCACCCAACGATCCATCCATCCCGCACGGATCACCTTTAGTAAGTCTGCCTGCCTCTTCTCATCAGACTCCGTTCCTGCACTCCCCTGCCAGTACTCTCTACCATAGCCGGACGCACTCGGGGGTCGCGACCTGGTTCCAGTCTGCACCAAGTCCATCCCCACCATGAGGGGCCCTGGTGAATAGCAGGCTGGGACTTAGACCCCGCGCCCTGAGGAAATGCGTGCTGTGGGCTGCTAGAGACACTGCCAGGCGGCACCTAACAGTACCAAATGGCCAAAATGTCGGAGCCTGAAAGAGGACCATCCCCACTGGAGGAAATGTGTCAACACCTGGCGGCTCTAACTCAGGCGGTAAAGACACTGCAGGAGGGCTACACCCATCTGG